CCCCCCCCCCCCCCCCCCCCCGTCTCGTCCTTAACAGCAAGTCACATGACTGGTGCTATTCTACTTCTTGTGGAATGACACGACACATCACTCTTTGACAAACCAGAGCTCTGCACACTCAGAGATGTAGTGTCCTCTCATCAGTGGAGAGAGAACCAGAGTGCGCCTGTGAGACGCAGCAAAGACCAGCGTTTGAGGTTTTTATTGGATAACACGCCTTCATTTCCACTCTAGAGTCCAATCCTTTTTCTGTCAACACATTTTCCCAAAGACAGTTTTGACATCTTCAATCATCTCAAATCCAAAACCCAAAGATATTTAATTCACCAACATCGAAGACTAAGAAGTGCAGAAGATATTCATATTTCAAAGACTGGAACCAGATAACGATTAATCGATTATAAGAAATAGTTGCAGATTAATTTTCTATGATAGACTAATAATTACAGTGGATACCGTTTCATTTAAAAAAAAAAAAAAAGTGAACACTTTAAATAATTATAATACATAATACACATTGCTAAACCCACTGAGAATTGATCCCAACTCTCCAGGTCTACACAGCTTGTTGTCCTCTTGTGTCCCATTATTTTATTCTTCAATTGTTTGAATCAAAGAGTTCTCTGTGTCCTAGGCACCGGTAGCGGCTCTCTCTCTCACGCCATCCTGCGCTCCATCGCCCCCTCGGGTCACCTGCACACGGTGGAGTTCCACCAGCAGCGGGCGGAGAAGGCGGCGGAGGAGTTCAAGGAGCACCACGTGGATCGCCTGGTCACCGTCAGGAACCAGGACGTGTGCAAGGACGGCTTCGGGGTGACCGGGGTGGCGGACGCCGTCTTCCTGGACATCCCCAGCCCCTGGGAGGCCGTGGGACACGCCAAGGCTGCCATGAAGAGACAAGGTAGGACTCTCTAACTCATGTTGGTACTCCACCAATTAGAGCCCATAGAGACATTGTGGCCTCCTTTTCCTCGGTGTGTTTTTACCAAGAAAAGCCCCGGTGAGGTGAGAAAACGTATCGGGTAGCTGAATAATGGACTTAAAATTACTTTTGTTCTACTCTTTATGGCCCTTGAGTGATTATTGTAGATTTGAGGGAGTTGACCGCAGTCACAGGTCTGATTTAAGAAGCGCTCCATTTATTCATTTGTTTAGAACGTTCGGTTCTTCACCCACACGCAACATCAGTCAAGGCGAAAATCAAAACCATTCTATGGCAACTGGACCGGGTCATATAGGCTACGATGTTTTTGACAAGTTTATTAAATCATTATTATTAGAGGAAATTACGGGGGCATTTTTTGCCCCTCTCCTAGTGATATCAGGGGCACAATTATATTTCTTAGGGGTAGTTTTGCCCTCGTGTATTTCCGACGCTGCCTGGGTGAATGAATGACTGGAGGTTACTGAAGAGTCCTGATAGTGTGTGTGTGTGTGAGAGAGAAGGCGTTTTATGGCGAGAAACACTCACCATCCCCTGATGTTGACTTTTCTGTGACTCAGGGAACATGAGCCAGCGATTCTTCTCCCCCCCCCCGCACTCAAACAGCGTCCATCGATCCGAGCCGACACAGCCCTCATTAACTCTTCGACCTTGTGTTGCTGTTTGTTCTCGGTCACAGAGTGAACTCATGTTGAGGGTTTCTGTGACGACCAGAGGAAGCAGCAAGTCCGGGCAGGTCGTCGGTTCACTGAAGTGGGTCAGAAGTAACGTTTTGTGTGACACAGGAAGAACACGGAGCGGCTTCCTGTTTCATGTTGCATACTCGCAAGTATTTGCAATTAAAGTCACACTGGTGGAACAGGGAGTGTAATCTGAAAGCTAATCTCATTTGTCTGACTGATCGTGGAAACACTTCATTTTATGACATTGATGAAGAAAACTGTTTAATGCGGATCTGTGTCGTACACAATCTGCTGAAAAAGGTCAACATTGATACGAGGGGTGTCTCAATATATCGGCATTGACCTTGACGGACGTATTTAAAAATGAAATATTAATATCATGTCAATGTAAATGTTCCAGTGCCTCTTAAATCATTCGACAGCTACGGTTACAGAATCTCTCTCCACCGCCCTAAACTCGGATTTTGAATCTAATTCATTTTCTAAAAAACGCACAATAAACAAAGTTAAAGATTAATTTTGACTGATGGGATTGGTTTTGTTTTCTGATATCATGAATTATTTTGGCTACAATCCTGATATCGTGACGGCTCTAATTGATGGCGCTACGTTGTATTTTCTGACCGTGTGTTTGATAGAAGGAAAAAAGCCTCAACATTTCATATCTCAATGATTTAGAAAAGGCATTATCGTACGCTGCCACCAAATCTATTTATCCAATGAACTGACAAAAAAGTGAGTGACTCGACAGTTAAGATGCACAGGATCAGTGGTTTATGAGTACATATTGTTATTATTATTATTATGAGTACATGTTTATGTTCCCGCGGCACATTAATGCAGCGATTTTAAAAAGTAAGCCCCAATATGAAGAGGAATGCTACTCTCCCTCCTCCGTGAATCCCTTTTATGGTGCCACTGCTACATATTCCTTTCATGAGCGGTTGACCCCCACACACACACACACACACACACACACACACACACACACACACACACAGAGAGATACAGATAAATAGAGTGCAGCCATTATAGAAGCAGTCCCATGACCATACAGGGTTATGCTGCAGGGACAGAGAGAGCTGGTGACTAAGGCTCCACAAGGAAAGGCTTGATTTACTTCCCACTGCTCACACACGGCGTTTTCTCCAGTGAACCGGGGACAACCACTGCCCCCCCCCCCACCCCCCCCCCAAAAAAAATAAAAGTGTGACCAAAAAATCACCTGTGAAAGTGCTGAGGGTTTTTTGTGCACCTGACTCAATAAGATAAAATATAACTGTATTAATCCCGACGGAAATTCTTGTGCAACAGCACTCAAAGCTCACCTATTTAAATATAAGAAGTGATACTAACACTAGTGCCTAATGGAAACTAAAATAGAAAAGTGATATTAAGTATGAAATTAATAAAGTAGTAGAAAGTTAGATGAATGAAAATAATATTTCACATGATATGGAAATGTAATATTGCACGATGTTGGGTAATAAATTCTGCAGCACACGGTGTAGCTATGGAAGCTAGCCACAGATTGAGCAGACGGGTTGTTTGCAGAGTGGAAACGACAGGAGGCACGACATATCGCCCACAGCCCAAATTCATCACCTTGTTGACTGACTCCAGATCTGTTCTCAGGCTCAAGAAAGAAAAAACTAAACCGTTGCTGAGAGCTGCTCTACTGCAGCGGACAGAATGTGATTCTTCTCCTGACCGACCCTCCCTCCCTGCTCGTTTTAAGACTCTGATTATGCAACAGTAAAGCAAACATGTCCCGTGACCTCAAACACTCATCGACCCGATAAGGAACCCAAGTTTCACGCATGTATAGCTATCAGTGGTGGACGTACGGTTGACACTCGAGGCTATTAATAATGCTTTGAGACGCCTTTGTGTAATCATCAACCCGACCCCTCCCTGTGCGTTGGTCATGGTTGCTTGGAGTTGTGTTTATTGCGGTCTCGAGGGAGAACACTGGTCCTGTTTGCTAAAGGAACGCCTGCTATCTGAAACATCCCCAAGTTTACCAGACGGGTCGGACGCTTCAACAAGGCTGCCCTCTGCAGACTCGCTCTTTAGTTCAGTTCAGGGTTTGTCTCTGCAGATTATTCCCCTCTCAAGTTGTGTAACAGAATTTGAACAGGAACCGATGGCTTGAACTAGTTTAGTGTTGTGCGTGTGTGGTGCCTGAAATACAAAGGTGGACTTCTCTAGGTACCTAAAAGATGTAAAACCGAGTTCCTCCTCAAAGAATCAAACAAAAACACCACTTTATATCTTGTTGATTGATTTGTTAAAAATCTAGTCGTCTAAAGAAATCTTAGTCGAGACCAGTGACTGCTTAGTCGTCTATAATGGGCCCTATTTGCTCAAAGGGCTTTGTAATCTGTACAGCGTACAACCAGCAGACATGCAATAGATAAGCAATACTTTAATAATACTGATGAATATACAGATAATTATCCGCTGAATCTGCAGCTTTTTAGTGAGTTTCAGCTCATTGCTAATCAGTCCAGCTGCAACGTTGCTGTTCTGTTTCACTCTCACTGCTCTCGTAGCGCTGCCATGATACTCTACCTGCTAACAGCAGACACGCTCAGTTAGCGACTAGCTGGTAAGCAAAGCTTTTAGCAGCTAAAGAGACACAAATTTCCCTCAGATGGTGGTGGAGACCAAAAACGAGAGAGAATATTGGACGTAAATCTGTCAGGTGACACAAACATGACTCTGAATGAATGATAATGTTTCTATGTAGCTGCAGGATGATTGCATCATCACGAAGGTGCTGTTAAAGGTGCTAATTCAAATGCTACAATTTCATCACATCCAACACTTGAGTAACATCTGTAAAATCCTCCAAGAAAAGACGACATTAACGCCTCTCTTGAGAGAGATGTTGAGTAGAAAACACACAGAAACTCTATTTGTTTCGTTAACCCCTCCCCTCCCCAGATGTTCTGGTCAGAGTCACATTCTTCAGGTCAGCCAGTGACAGTTTCCTCGGCTCGGTGCTCCGACCTCCCGCCGCGAATCACCGCAGGGCTTCATTTAGAGACGAGAGGCCGGAGCCCAGAGGTGATCTGTGTTCATTAGCGCGCCGGGTCATCCCCTGATGATCCACAAACCTCGGCCCGGAGCCCAAGGAAGGAAAACAATCTGCTTTAAAAGGGGCTTTTGGGTGTAAGAAAAACAGATTATTAATAGTAGTAGTAGTAGTATCACAGGTTTCCCCAGAGGAGACTAAATGTCTCCTGAGTCCCGTAGTTCATAAATCTGGCTTTGATTTATTTTCGTCCATGGCTGTTTGTTTTTAAGCGTCATTCTTACAAAGATAACAATGAAAACACTGTCTACTCTCCTTTTTTGAGATAATGCTTTTGAGGAAGGTTTGATTTTGTCCCAAAGTGTCAGAATAATCATGCAAGGATGATAAATAACCTTTTTGAGTATTTTTATTCATAAACCTTCAGTTTATTCTCTCAAACAGCCCCTGATGGAGGACGAGGTGAAGATGATTCTGGGTTAAGTGGATCTGCAGTGATCTTGACAACAGGCTGCTGGTGCTATATATGTTCCTGATGATGGTTCAGGTCATGCCGGTGTTTGTGGAAGACCAAACATGATTGCCTCTGTTTGGTGTACATTTTCACAGCAGAAGATTTTTAAGTAAATCTGGGGGGTTAGCATGTTTATCCTCAACACGCTGGAGCAGTCATCTCCTTCAGGCAGCAGCAGTGTTTCTGGTATTGTCCCAGACGTCTCACATTAACGCAGAATAACTTCCAACCTGAAGAAACCTGACAAAGATAAATGAGGTCAGAGACCAAAAAGACACTGCAGATGTTCAAGCTCACCTGAGATTGCCAAATAGAGTTAATGGACCCGATGTTCTGTTAACTTATTAGCTATTAGGAAGGCTCACCAGTACTATATGCTAACAATAATCAAGCTACTCCTGACACATTCATATTTAACAATATGTTGGGGTGGTGTTTGATTGCTTATTGTTATTGTTTGTTTAATGTTGTGAATATTGTTCCACGATAACTTTGCTCTGCAGATTATTCTACAAGCGCAACATCGGCTAGCGTGTTAGCATATTGTTAGCATTAGCTGAAATGGGAATTCAACATTGCTACTCCGTTTAGCTTCAGTCTTTTATTCAGATGTTCAAATTAGCATGGATACATTTGGGTGAAAAGTGACCGTTTAAGTATGTATGCATTTAGAGTATTTTAATGAGTACTAATATTAGTGTAGCATCCAATTGTTCTGAGACATTTCACTCAAAAACACAAATGTGAACCTCGCGGTGGTAACGGAGAAAATGAAGATCACCAAAGTCTCCATGATTCAACCTTGGAATGAAGCTTAAGTCGGACACTATATCGGATGTATCAACAATAAGGATCGCCCACTAACCCGGGGCAAGTCAAATGCAACGTCGGGCTGGTTAATCTAGCAACCGTGACATCTCTGTTGAGAGTTGTACATGCGCGGTACCGATCGGGCACACGGGAGAAAATTGCGGCGGCTAAAGACAAAATTCATGAGCTGAAGCGCAAGCGACCATTTCAATGATCCTGGAAACAGGAGTTATGTGTGTGGCGACATTAGAGGATGTGGGCCAAACTCCAAATTCATATCTATTAAAGTCAAGATGACAATCAACTTGAGTCTTTATTATTTGATGACTGCTAATAAGTAAAACAATGTGTATCGGGGCAATGAACTGTGCATGGGCACTATGAATGTTACAATCGCTGGATAAGTCAAAGTCTGACACGTTAGTGGCTCTAGAGGAAAAGTCAAAGGGGGACTAAAGTCTGCATGATTCAACCTCTGAGGACCATGAATATCTGTACAAAATGTCATGGCAATCCCTTTAGTAGTTCAGATACTTCAGCATGGACCAAAGTGTGGAAAGACCGACCGTAGTGTTGCTTACAATGAGCCTGAAAGAACAGCTCTGAAGAAGGTGAACACATATTTGCAACCGACTGGTCTTGGTCATATTTTGGGAAGCCCGATGTCGACCGTTAAACTGTTCTCTCTCTCTCTCTCTCTCTCTCTCTCTCTCTCTCTCTCTCTCTCTTTTTCTCTTTCTCTCTCTTTCTCTCTCTTCTCCCCCCAGGAGGTCGGGTGTCTTCGTTCTCCCCATGTATCGAGCAGGTCCAGAGGACGTGCGAGGCGTTGGCGGATCAGGGTTTCGAGGAGATCAGCACCCTGGAGGTCCTGCTGAGAGTCCACGACGTGCGCACCGTGTACCTGCCGATGCCTGACTTCGGCCCCGACCCCTCCTCTCAGACTCGGCCCGATGCCGCCGAGATAAAGCCTCCGACCTCCGTCGCCTTGAAGACCACAACCCTGCCCAGAGAAACGCAAGGCCACACAGGGTACCTCACCTTCGCCACCAAACCAAGAACCTAAAGAGATTGCTCCAGTAAACTGGGACGTGGTTTATCAGCTCTCTGCCTCGCTCCGGTGTATTTTCCATCTACATTAATAAGACTGTGATAATCCAGCGGGGGCACCAGGCTCCTCCAGGTCCCGACTGGCACTGCAGGTCATTTTATCCTCCTGTCACTTGGCACCGGTTTGTTGCTTGCATCAAGCACGAGTGAATTTAATTTGAGAAGCGTTTACTCTACTTTATGTCTCCCCTTTTATAAAAATCTATTTTTAATCAATTATTTCATTTGTTTGGGGAAGAAATGTTTTCATTTTTATCCTCTTTCTTTGCACTTTTGTATTCAAGTAAATACAATAAATGTGTGAAAAGATTCATGCTTTTCTTTATTCTGTTGCACAAGAAGAGGAATAAAGTAACTCAAAGGTTTAATCCCTTCACCGGCTGATATGACGTGTGTTTAAGTGTCCTTGAGCAAGACAGCGATCACCCAGCAGGTCAATCAACAATAAGAGTTTGGCAGCTCATTACATTTAACATTAATCTTTCTCTATGTACAAAAAACGAGCCCTTTTCTGGAGTTGATAAATTTGTTAAATATTTGAGTTGGATGGTCGGGTCGACGCCTCTCTCATGTTAGCTTAGCATACAGGGACATCTTTAGGGTAATAAGTGCGTTTCTCCCGAAATGTCAGACTATTCCTTTTAAATTAAAGCCGCTTTTCTTTTATTTGAGTAAAAGTTCAAACCTTTTCCACAAAGACACAGAGACGATGTTTAAGAATAAATTCATACAATATAAACAGGCATCAGTAGCGACACAACTAATCCTATTGCCAAGCTATTTTAATCGTACTACATTGGCATTTTAAAGTCCTTTTTTATTAAACTATCCTCTTGTTCGCAGCATGTTTTAATGTTCCCGTTGACTCGTGAGCGTCTCCCTCTGAAGCTCGGCACCAAAAAAGGCAGAAGAAACGTCTGCAGTTAAACACAGAAGACACGGAGGGGCTTCTGCTTGTGTCCTCCCAGATCAGATTCTCACGTAACCAAAACCAACCGTGAGATTTCCCATTCCCCCTCTCCTGACAAGAAGAGATCCGAAGCACCGGAGAACCGTTACTGCTGTATTTAATTTTGGACTCTTGGGTTTCCCCACTAGTCTTTCTTTCCAAAAGCTTCACAGGAAGACATTCAGTTTAAAACGGGAGAAATCTGATGCTCATTGTGTGACACATTTCTATCTGATAATATCTCATTAAATCAGCCCCTGTTGTTGTTCTTCCACCTGACTGCTGCTGCTGCTGTTAGTCAGAACCTCCTGCTGCATTCAGAGGCAGTCGGGGCGTTAGAGGGGCTGTTCACGGTATAATCCCCGAGGTTTACCGCGGGTTATAAAAAGCACCGCGGCGTTTAAGTCGGCTGTGTTGGACAGGTTTGGTGTGTGTGTGTGTGTGTGTGTGTGACTGAGTGCCAACAGACAGTTTCACACGTCTTAACAAAGCCAAAGACCAATCACAGGCGGAAAACAAAATAGAATCCGCATTCTAGATTAGACTTGATTGTCTGGACTAGATTTAATCAATTACCACAGCTCTTCTTCTGTGGTTTTAATCTTCCAGCACCTTGTCTTTATCGTCTGGTTGTGCAGGAGCCAATCGGTATGTTTTACTATCAATACTTACACCAATATTCATCTGCAAAGAGGCGGAAAATCAACTAGAAATTTAGTAAAAACTTGACAGCAAGAAATGAGTCACAGGAAGTTGGTGTGAGAAGTTCACAGAGCATACAATTAAGCCCCAGCTGGTCACTGGTAGAACCAGTGGAAGTGTTTAAATTGGAGGAATGACTGATTTGGTGTCTTTTGAGTTTTCTTGTGTGTGTGTGTGTGTGTGTGTGCGTGTGCGTGCGTGCAGGAAGTGAGTAACGCTCTCTGTCGAGGAGGTGGATGTTGCTGTGATTAAACCTTCACATTCATCTTCTTGTGTTGAAAGAGACAGAAAATGTTAACAGTGAGTCCTAAAGATGATGCAGTTTGTGAAAGTCACACCAAGTATTGCAAACGTAACTAATAAGGTACCTCTTTTTTTGAGTATTTTAATTAATTTCCTTTCTTTCCCTCGTCAGATAAAGTATTTAATTCATGATCTAAATCAGCAAATATGTGTTTATACCGTATACTGTATATAAGACACAGCCGGAGTCATCGTGACGTCACCAATTGGTTTGTAAACTGCAGTTTTGAAGCCTTGAGTTTGACATTTTGGCCGTCGCCATCTTGGATTTTTGCCACCAGTGAACAGGAAGTGACCATATTTGTATTGCAGAGGAGTGACCTGTAGAGACCTGTCAATCACTGTGTAGCCCCGCCCTAAAGCATCCCCTGCTTTATGGTCTGTTTGACTCTAAATGGACCATAATGTACTAAATGAACATCATGCTGTATTGAAGAAGACTTGAAACTAGAGATTGAGACCATAAACTCATGTTTACAATGTTTACTGAGGTAATAAATCAAGAGAGAAGTAGAGTCATTTTCTCATAGACTTCTATACAACCAGAGGAGTCGCCCCCTGGTGGACACTAGAGAGAATGCAGTTTTAAGACATGAAGCTTTGACTTCACTTTTCAGAACTGGAGGTTGCCTCCTGGTTAATACAAAATGCAATTAGTTGGAGATAATTAGCTTTATAACCAGTTAAAGCTGTACTAATCTGTATTTGTATTATGTCATTAATGAATCAAATGACGAAGGTGGTGGAGACCCAAAATAGAGCTGAAAGAGAGAAATAAACATCCAAAACCACTGCATGCATTTGAAGATGTAAAGCTGAAACTTGGCTACTCTTCTGGGCGATAAAAAAACGCCGCACATGCGACTTCTAATCACCACTAGGAGGCTGATGAAAATCTCCGTTAAATAAACACGAGCTTCACTGGGCAGCTTCCAGAAAACGGAGTCATGTAATTGAGTGAAAGCTGGATAAACGCCCCCGAGCACTCAGTGAGTCGTCCCACCAGCAGACCCGAAGCAGCAGGCGGCTCCGGAGGGTCCTAATCTGCTCGGGGCCGAGGCCGAGAATAGCTGCTCTGATCTGCTGGAAATCCTGCCGCTTAATCAGCTTGTCTCGTGGCGTCCTGAGCCGAGCGCTGATGCCCGGCCAACAACCAGGCCTGACGCAACGCTGGCAGAGAGCGAGCACGAGATGTAACGGGGTGGCACGCGACCAGATAAGGGCGTGAGGGCGAGAGGGCGAGAGGGCGTGTCAGGCGTGTCAGGCGTGTCAGGCCTCCTAAGTGGACTCAAAAACTCAGTCATCGCTTTAAATGATGTAGCTGCAGGTTATCTTAGCAACTGAGCTACTGGTGCACAGAGAGGAGAGCGCAGGTGGTTTCTTTACGTTCATTTATTTTTAGCTCCTAAATGTTCCACTGTGTTCACCAGCTAGTCGGCTATTAAAAAAAAAAGACATTTTTAATTTTACAAAAATATTTTACAGTTAAAACTTGTCTCTAATAGAATCAAAGGCGATAAAGGGATTTTATGTTTAAGAAATAACACAAATTTTTAATTTTTACACAAATACTCTCTAATCATATTAAATGAGATGTAAAATGTATCAAAACAGGATTCAAAAGGCAACTTGGAGCCGCTTTCAAGACTGAAATAGCCGTTTTTTGTCATTAATGGAGCTTATGGTTCTGCTTTTCCTCTACAGTATGTGATCCTATCTGTTTTCTTTTAACCCCTTTAATCCTGGTGGGACTAAGAGAGAAGGAGAGGAAAGCAGCGATGATGAGATTAGAGGCTGAGAAGAGAGTAAAGCTTCTGTTGCTGCTCCGTGCTTTTGAATAAACCTCTTACACAAGTCGTCATTTCGCTGTCAAAACAGCAGCACGGATGGATTTTAATGTGATCAATAACAGCGCTTTTTTAAAAATACAGTACATAATCCTTTTTAACACGTTGAGGAACAAGAGATCTCCTAATAAGTGTGTTGAGTTTATAAAGACAAAAGCATTTGAGTAAAAAGCAGGAATGAAAGAACAAAGTCATAACAATAAAAAGACACGGCGTGCATTTCTATCTCTGCAAAAAGCTTCAAAATAAAGACAAGAACATCACTGCAACTGTCTAAGAGTTCAAACAGCATGATTAATAAACGGACTAAATAATAGTTCCAATAAAATCCAATAAAAACTGGATTTATTGAGAAATACAGATTTCAGGTATCTTGCGTTTCTGGATAACTCCAGCCCCGATTACATTTAGTTAAATGTTCATGGTCTCCTGAGGATGAATACTAGTTATTTTATCATTATCATGAGAACTGAACCTGACTCGTACCCACGACTTTAACATCAGACTGACCGAACACAACGAAAGACATTCTGAGTTTGTTGTTTACTTTTAGATGGCGACGTGCGAATACAACAAAGAGCTTATTGGCTCAGTTTAAAGTGTGTCAAAAGGAAACATGACCATTTCTCTGCAGCTCCGTCTGACAGGAACATGTTCATCCTTTCATTGGAGGATCTACCATTGATAATGATGATGATAATAATAAAGTTATAATCTCTGTGACCCAGTTTCAGTGAGGGACGAATGTTTCCACCCTGAAGGCCACAGGCCTGTGTGGTCTAATTACCGTATGAAATATTGATGAGCGGCCTGTTTGAATCCGTTCCAGCTGCCTCCTCAATTACTATCGATCGGTTTTGGGACGGAAAGCCGATGCTGCTCTGTGTCATGTTTTATAATTCTGTATCTAATCTGCAATATTTGATTTGGACATATGCACGTCTTCTTTCTGCTTGTTTTGTGTGTAAATAAATAATTTACTCACTTTCCATCTTGGAAAGCTACAACTTCATAAATAAGGCTGGAATCGAGATCGTGAATAATTGATTGATGCATTAATGTACAAAGAAATGAATGAAACATGTCCTTCACAAGTTCCTCAGATTCCAAAGTGATGTTTTCAAATTGCTTGTTAAAAAGCAGCAAATCCTCACATTCAATAAATATCAGATGTTTTACTATTCTAGTTTAATGCAGGTCAGTCGGCTGTTACACAGCTATTAACAGGATTACCGTGACATTTTGTGCAAACATTCACAGTCCCCAGAGGATGAACCCTACTGACTTTGGTGATCCTCTGACGTTCCCTCTAGCGCCACCACGAGGTTGAATTTTGTAGTTTGTGGTGAAATATCTTTAAAAATATTGGATGTATTGGCATCAAATTTGGTACGACCATTCATGTTCCCCAGAGGATGAATTTTGATAACTTTGGTGATCCCTTAACTTTCGCTCCAATTGTTTTTAAACAAAAATCCCAAACTTTACAGACTCTTGATTAGTTGAGT